GAACAGAATGTCAACTGCCATGTTCTTTTATAGGTGTGTTGGCACAGACCAGGAGTTAGCAAACTATGGCTTGTGTGTCAAATCCAGCTAGGTGGCTATGTGGCCCAGGAGCTAAGAATGGTTTTTGCATTTATAAGTGGTTGAAAAAACTCAGAAGAAGAGCCATATTTTATGATGTGTGAAAATGATATGAAATTCAAATTTTGGTGTCCATTAGATAAAGTTTTACTGGAACATAGCCATGCTCATTTCTTTTGTATTGTCATACTTCTGCCTCATCTGCAGAAGTACAAACAGATGAGGGCTCTATGTCTTTCCAGACCAAATAAATTTTTAAAACAAATGAAACCACCCACACAGCATGTCAAACTCACCTCCAAAGTGGAGTTTTGAGCTTGCAGCCCTGTCTGTCGAGAAAATCCCAGTTCCTCCCTTTGTTTTTTTCTCCACTTTGCTTCCTGTTCAGTCTCCATTTTCTCTTATAGTCTCTGTGCTTGTGCTTTGGGCCACTTGATTGCTTAGGGTGGCTGGAGAAGAGAATAGGTGAGGGTCATTACGTTTGTAGAAGCCAAGGAATTATGAGGCCAGTGCTTTAGAGAATCATCAGCCAGATGTGGAGGTTTTCAAGGTGATGGGAAGAGCTGGAGTGGAAGGAACACTATGAGTCAGGTCCCTGGTCACTATGACAGGAGAGGGCACTGATAGGGGAGAGCAGAGAGAAGAAGGGATGGCATGAGAACCAAAGGACATGCAGGAGGAACCAACAAGGCATCAGGGTTCTAGGGCAAAGCTGATGCCCTCTGGGACCCCCAGGATGTGGGGAAATGAGCAGCCTTCTCTCGAGAAGGTGGTCAAGAAAGGCTGCAGAGCAGCCCCGGGGAACAGAGGAGAAAAAGTGAAGGCCTGGGTGTTGTCTACCTTATGTAGGCCCCAGGGCCATGCTGCAGAAGGTAGGAAGGAACCCAGCAGCAGTGGCTGATGAGGTCAGTGGTGTTGCCAGTGAGGAGACATGTCCTGAGGGGTTTACATTCCAGGTGGAACCTGAATCACCTAGGATTAGCTGGCTCCAAATCCTGAATGAAACACTGGGGCCAGGGGAGGAGGGAGCTTGGGTGGCCATGAGAGGCCTGAAGACACTTCCAGGGCTGGAGAAGGATATTACAGTTGCCATTCCCTTGCCATTTGCTTCAGCAAAATGCCTGCTACCCAGTAGTACATGCATTGGTAAGTTAGTCCTCATTTCCTGAACAACTTACATACTAAGCAGTTACTTCAAAGCACTGAAGGAAGAGGCTCAGGTTTCTAATAACATTCTGTCAACATGACTAATGCTGCCCTGGAACGCCCTTCCCCTGGGTATCTGGGTGGCTCACTTTCTTCTTCAACCAGGTTTCCTCAAAGAGGGGCCTTCTCTGACCCAAGTATCCAAACAACCCTTCTCTCACTCTTGCCCTGCTCTATTATTCTTCATTCCACCCATGTCCTGCTGACTCACCCTATATTCATCTGTTAGTTGGTAACTGTCATTCCCACTGGAGTATAAGCCCCATGAGGTCAGGAGCTTCCTTTTGTTCTCTACCCTATTCCCCAGGGCCGTGCAAACAGTGCCTGGCATAGAGCAGAGCTCAGTAAATAGTTGTGAGCAAATGAATGGAGGAAGGAGAATGGGAACTGGTTAGCAGACAGCTTGCCTGTGGCCATACACACAACCCTAAGAGATTGCACCTCTCAATTAGAAGTTGTTGCTACTCTAATAGTTCTGTTAACTCAACTATTGTGTAGTCTTTCTTCATCCTGCTTCCTGTACAAAAGTGAATTGCCTAAAATTCAACACCCACGTCTCTCTCAAAGTTTTATGCAATCAAATGTGACTGCTAGAAGGCTGCTTGTCTTCCCTATTTCTCCCTCCATCATGTCTTCCTCCTTAACTGCTTTTTCTGATGTTAGCCAAGATATCAGAACCTGAGATTACAGTCACAAAATTAACCCCTACCACGACCACATATCAAGGCTTGAGGTTTTCAATAACTAAGACAGTTAGACACCCCTCCTTCCTCAAGAGGCTGCATGTTGTGGGAAGATTGATAATTAAACATGTGATTACATGATGGTATAATGAGAACAACAGCAGGGGAGGTGTTACCTTCAGAAAGACATCCCTCAGGAATAGCTGAGTACTAAACTGAAAGATGAGTAAGGTTTAGCTGAGCAAACAAAGGTTGAGAAAAGTGAAGAGTAGGGAGAATCCCTGAGGCCAGAGAAGTGGGGCCTGTTGGAGGAGCCAGAAATGCGAGGTGGCTGGACACCAGGAGGAGGTGGAAGGTGGGGGTAAAACTAGGGCTGCAACAAGAGACAGGACCAGACAATACTAAGCCAAAAGGAACTCCAAGAAAAATTCTTAAACGTTTTAGGAATCATATTGTTGGTAATAATATTGCTATTATTATTCTGAAACTATGAGTATATATTATAGGATAAAGTAAATAAGTAATTATGCTAATGTTGATGGAAAACAAGATTTTTACCATAAGAAAATAAATGCGAATACAAAGTTTAAAAATTTAGTAAAAATTCTACAATTTTAAATTTAAATGGAAAATATGAGTATAAACCAATGATATGTTTTCTTATTTAAAAAAACCTATTTGCTAGCTCTGTCCACTAATAAGACCTAGAAACAATGACCAACCAAATGCAATGCATTTCCCTGGTACCGGTTTGTAGTGTTGAAATTCTATTTCCCCCTAAATGGAACCAGGGCTCCTTGGTGAAGTGGATGGTTCTAGTCTGGAGCAGAAATTGAACATGAGGAGCCTGAAGCATCGTGACATACCAATAGCAAGGCAAGTGTCAGAGATTCCTGAGGTCATGTCAATAAGAATTAGAAGTCAACTTGTCAAGGCTCCTACTGGCCACAAATGGGACCGCTTAAACATGAATAACAATAACTAAAAAGGATGGAAACACATGAGCCCTGTTGAAAATCCAGAAGTTCATAAGGGTGTTCAAAAAGAAAAAGAAATACCATTGTTCACCTTTCAATGATACTGGGGAATAAACTCATTCTGAAAACAGAAAAGTAAAGAGGAAGAATCTACCTTTGTCATATAAATTGAACCTCAGGGTAACCAGATAGTAGAGGAAGGAATGTTTCTTTTTCTAGAAATATTCCAGCTAATAAGAAGAAATATTACCATTTTGCAAGGCTTTAGGGAAATAATGGTTCTAGGCAACAAGGATTATATTAGTTTCCTAGGGATGCCATAACAAAGTACTACAAACTGGGTGGCTTACAACAACAGAAATGTATTATCTCATAGTTCTGGAACCTAGAAATCTGAAGTCAAGGTACTAGCAGGGCCATGCTCTTACAAAGCCTCTGGAAAAGGACTCTTCCTTTCCTCTTCTAGCTTCTGGTATTTTCAGGCAATTCTTAGCATTCGTTGGCTTGTATGTGCATCACTCCAGTCTCTGCTTCTGTAGTCACATAAGCATTTTCTCCCTGTGTCTATGTGAGTTCAGATTTTCCTCTTATAAGGACTGGATTAAGGCCCACCCTAATCTAGTATACTTACTTTAATCTGATTACATCTGTAAAAGCCCTATTTCCAAATAAAGTCACAATCGCCGGCCTGGGAAGGGGAAATGGTTAGAAGTTCAACATATCTTTTTGGTGAGCACAATTCAACCAATAATAATTATCAAGGGCAGCTAATGTCACAAACAGAAAGACACAGGACATTATATATTTCCTGACAGAAGTACAAGACACCACCTATGAAGTATTATTATGAAAAAATTAGACCCAAATCAGACTAAGTCTAGATCTACCTACGAATTTACAGGAAATAGGACAGAAAGGCATGTTAAAAAATACCACAGGCATATAATCAGCAAAATCCAGGATGTGGGAAACTCTATAGGACAAGTGACTTTTTTTTTCAGCAAATAAATTACAAGGAAAAAAACAGGGAGAGAACTCTGTAAATTAAAATGTACATAATAGACATAGCAACAAAATATACTGTATAGGTCTTGTTTGAAAATTTGAATACCTATTAGATATTTAATGATATAAAAGGATTATTAACAATTTTTAAAAACATATCTAAATTATGGTGATGTTTCAAAGAGAGAGTCCTTAACTTACAGGGATACATCAGGAATACATAAATAAAAATGGCATTTATGGGGGTGGGAGGAGAGCAGGGGGTGGGTTAGGTATGAAACAAGATTGGCTATGTTAATTAATGAAGGTTTTTGGTAGGTATATTTTTATTCTCTACTTTCTATGCTGCAATTTTCTAGCCTATAAAATTTATAAAATTAACATGCAGTATGTTTAGTTAATGTTTCTCAGCTTGGGGCTGTATCATAATTTACCTGCAGAGGACACTTCCCTCCCTTAGCCTTAGATATCTGCTATTTCCTTTTCTAGGAAATTGTGTTTCTCTTTTTGAAATTATTCACTGTAGCTTGATTGCTGATGGAGACCTTTTGTTTATTGGAAGCTCCTGGCTAGCCGACACGAATAGTTTTCATTAGGCAGGAAAGGATTTTTTTCAAAACTCCTTTTATTATAAAAGTATTGTGAACATACACAGAGTAAAAAAGAAAATTCTAAAAGTGCAGAGTCACTACTGTTCCAAGTTTCTTGTGAATTGCTGCCGACATTTTCCTACAGATATACAAAAATAAACATGATTTGGACCTTACTGAAAATACTGTTTGCAACTTGCTTTCCCCCTCACCGCCACCCAGCAGTCTATGTTAGAGACCTTTTCAGAGCAGCAAATAGAGATCCTCCTATTTTTTATTCCATTATATGGAAGTACCATAATGCATTGATATTTCAAATCAGTCCCCAATTGGCAGGTAATTTCTCCCCATAGTTATTTCCCTTTTAATGTTGCAATGCATCTTCTGAACACACATAGAAAAGGGGAAAAATTGTTTTTTAACCTGTATTTCCTAAGAAACCCCCTTCTTCATTCTTCCAGCTTGGGACAGGAAGTGCCCTGTGGTATGAAGCATCACACAGCAAACCTCCTGGACCTGGCTACATCACCTGTGACTCACCAGCCACTGCCAAGTGCTCGGCAGGTAGAGACTTGTGCAGCCAGGAGCGTGCGTGGCTCTCAGGCGAGGAGAGGGAGCGCCGCGGCTCTGCGCTCAGCTGTGACAACTGCCCCCGATCTGAGGATACTTGAGGCTCCCCTGAGCCCCCTCTTGTATGGTGCCCCAGCCCAGGACAGGTAAAGCATCAGCACCACAGTTCACCTGCTCACTGTCATTAGGTAAGTTCGCTGGCGTTGAAAGATGCTGGGGCTAATGTTGCACTCGATTCAATTTGCCTAGAGCAGCGGTTGCTCCGTTGGTGGTATGTTCAAAGTGAAGACACTAAAATGCTAATGTGAACCAACTCCCTGATGGCTTAGTGTCTCCTCTGAAAGTGGGTATCCAGAGTAAGCTTTTATTTTAGTTTATTCTGTTTTTTGTTTTTAAGAAAATGTGGTTTGTGTTTAATCCTCTGAAAGTCCTGTGTGTCAGCAAGGCTTTTCTTTCCTGCTGTGTGGGACTTTATATGGGGCTTTTCTTGCCAGATTTGGAATTTCCTGGCAAGGAAGAGAGGTAATTTGAGTAACCCAGACACAGACAAATATATTTCTCTTCAACAAAGCTGTTCAGATGTCATTGAAGATGTGTGAGAAATTGGATAGAAAGCTATAGAAAATGCTCTTTAAAAAAGTATTCTCCCACTGACGGCTTTAGTGAAGGTCTTTCCATCCAGTCTCCTGAATGGGATAACTTTAGGCCATCGCCTTGTCCAAAGAGATTTGTTAGACCACAGGGAAAGGGCTTGGGAGACAGTCAAGTGTCTCAGTACAGGCTGTGCAGGCTCTCTTTCCAGCTTGGACAACAAATATCAGGGCTTGGAGCAAAATGCACATGGGTTGGTTGGTTTGTCCTCTTTTTCAAAATGCTCATATGCCTGTTGTTTGAAAAGTAGATAAAAGCTTACATAGTGTCTCCCTGAAGAGCACATTTTGGAGTTGCTTATTGTTGCTCTTAACTCCAGTGAAGTTCTTGCTCATCTGATGACTCCGATGTTTCAGTAATGGCATTTGGCTTAAGAATAGAGGCTAATAAGAAAGCATTGTATTATGGAAACTGAGGTGGGGACTCAAGAGAGGAGTAAGGAGAAAAGCTGTGGGAAAGAGGTTGAGTGCGGGCCTGAGTCCACCAGAGGAGATGCAGGGTGAGCTGGCTAGAAGTACAGTGCTGTTCTGTTCATTTGTTTTTTCCTTTTAAGTGTTAATATCAAGGACAAATAAGACAAGAGAAAAGGAAGTGTGGTGGCTGGGGTGGGGAATGCATGGACTGACCTAGGATATGCCGGTAAAGCTGGGGTCAGGGCTCTGGACACAGCTCACTGCTGAGCCCCAGCACCATGGGGAAAGCTGGTCCTAGACTTGATAAGTACTGTGTGCTGAGTGATTGCACAGCTAGAGCCTGGTCTAAGACTTTGAGCAGGGCTCAGCCACCAGGTTTCATGGGGCCATGGAAAAAAATTCTGACCAGAGACCAAGTGCATTAGGTCCCAGCAGAGGAGGACCCTGATTTTCTAGGAAACCATCCAAGGAAGCTTTCTGTGGCTCCCCGTCCCACCCTACAGAAGCATCCCATTTCCCATTGCCTGTCCCATCTCCTGGAACAATGGTTATGTTCTGAACTAGTTCAACAACATAGAGAAGCTTTCATTAAGCATTCATTTCCTTGTAAGATATTTTTTTCACCTAGGAAATTCTCTCAAGCCTTCTGATATTGTTAAATGCCACAATGATTGGGTTTGAACAACTGTGACCTTCAGCTCCCTGAAGACTTGTAACACCATCCCTATGGATTGTAGATTCAAACTTGAGGATCTTTTAGTCAAAAGGAGGAAACGTTAGAAAAGCATATAGGGTCCTGCGTCCCTGTTTTTGGGGTGTGTAGGTGAAAACCGTAAAGCTAGTTGTTCTTCTGATTAACCTATCAATCTTCTAGTCAATCTTGATTCTAGTTCCTCTAAACAGATCAATTTCCTAGAGAGCAGAATACTAGGCTGCCTGCTTTAGGAGTCGGTGTTGCCCCTACCACCAATGGTTATCCATGGCCCTTCCACAAATCTTTCAGTATTTCCCATTAAGGAAAAACGAAAGAGTTGGATCAAGATGCACAAAGATTTCAATAGCCTAAAAGGAGGGGCTGAAATTAAAACAGTTGCACAGATAGATGCTAGGGAAGAGCTAACATTCTAGTCCTATGGAAAAGGTTCAATTGGCTTTGAGCTGAATGTGAAACAAGAGTGACTTTGGGCTGCTAGTACAGCTCACCAACACAGGCAGCACCGATAGAAGCTCAGCTTCCAAAATAAGAAAGATTAGAGGCCTGCTCTGCTTTGCCCTGGTCTGGCCATGGCATCTTCTGCCTCTAGTCTCATATCTGCCTCTAGTCCCCTCTGCAACTTGCAATCAGAGTGATTTTTCTTAAAATCCAAATTTCACTCTCTGGTTTAAAAGCTTTCAATGCCTCCCCATTGCCCTCAGCGTAGTCACACAGGGTATCCTTTGTGATGAGCATCATAATGATGCTCAAAAAGAAAAATAAACACTATAGTTCACCTTTGGATGATACTGGGGAACATTTCCACACCATATTGTAACTGCTTGAGAGTAACCCACCTCCCATCCCAAGACAGCAAGCTGCTCCAGGCGGAGACTATGGCATTTTATGTGCCTTCTCAGTGTCTGCTATCTTCCTGGTAGGCACTCAGTGAATATCTGTTGATGGGTATTTATCAATGGAAGACTAGACATTTCAAAGGGAACAACTGACAAACCCAAGCACATTCAGAGAAGAATAAGGATGGTAAGGGCTATGGGAATGAAATCAAATGACAAATAGCTGAAGAAGCTGAGGCACTATAGCCTGGAAAAGGAGCATTATGAGAGGCACAACAGTTCACCTTCATGTTGTGAGGAAGCGGGACATGATTTACTCCATCCTCACCAGATGGCAGAAATAGAATCTCTCATGGGAGGGTGATGGACATGATGCAACTTAAGAAGCAGCTTTGGAAAACACTATGATGTGCTACATTTGGGTACCTTTGGTGAAAAGAAGGGTGCGCTATAAAGGAGGGATAGCTTCCTCGTGACCCAAAATGCTCCCTGGCCCTAAAAAGTCTAGCACCATTTCAGGAATGTGGTTGAAAGGATTCTTGTGTTTGGTAAGGTGTTTGCCTGGATAACATATTGAAGGTCCTGCAGAACATGGACTCTAAGATCTGTAGGTCCCTGGCAGCTCTAAAGTCTGTGATTCTCTCATCTGGGCCACAACACCACACAATTCAGAAAACTAAATAGACATGCTAGTTTATGACTTCTTTTCCTTAGCAACTTCAAGGAATTTTACCCATTCCAAATCTGCTCGTGATGCCTGGTTCACTTAATTGTTGCACTGGGAGCAGAAAAAGGGACACAGAGAAGTTACATAACCTGTCCTAGTTTTTGCAGGTGGTCATGAGCAGCAGAATCCTAACAGGAAACAGAACTCTCAATTCCTAGGCATTAAGGCAAATGACTTTTCCAGGACCCTGATGACTTCATGTGCCAACTTGTCCTATGAAGTTTCACATCTCTTACCATTTTGCCTTCATTCCACATATAATGTTCAAGAACACAACCCTGGTAGGCTGGTGACAGGGACGGGCTCTGGAATTAGATTGCCTGTGTGACCTCAGGAAAAGTCACTTAATCTTACTGTTTCCTATTTCAGCTTCTTTCAGTTTCTTCATCAATAAAATGGATATAATAACAGAATTAACCTTATAAGGTTGTTATAAGAATAAAATGAGAACACAGTCCATGAATATAGTAAGCACTTAATAAACACTAGCTAGCAGATGAGGACTGGCCTTGGGAATGAAGAGAACTGATTTCACATTCCAGTGCTAAAGGTATGGTGCAGTGGTCTTGTTGGAGACCCTGGGCTGGGTGTGAAGGGTGAAAGATGACGCCATTGGCACAGAAGAACAAAATGGGGGGGGGGGTGTACACCCAGGTGGTGCTCTTGTGCTGCTGTCTGTGGTCCTGAAACACAATTTGTTAATGCACTTAGTTAATTCTCTAGGAAAATGGGGGTGAGGATTGCACCCCAAAACCCCATGTCTTTCCTCCATTCCCCATAACTCCCTGCTTATGGCTAGTCCTTCTACCAACTGGAATTTGGATAGATTGTTGGTAACTAAATTTAAAATCATTAGTTTCTTTATCATTGAAGATAGGTAATTCCTACCCCCTATATGTTCACGGCCATGCTCCCAGGTTAAATGCCGTCCTATATGTAACACCCCCCCCCATGCCTGCCTGAGGAACACAGTCAGAAAGGGGCGACATAGTGGAAACAAAAAAATTTTCCCTCTGAGCTCCATCCTAGTAGAGTCACAGGGACAATGACCCCAAACCCAGTGAAGGCATAGCGCGGCTTTAACCTGCACAGTCGCAGGAGCCTCACAGTTTTTTAGCAACCATTTAAGTTTTCCTGAGGCCAGAATCAGAGCCATGGAGTCTCTCCCCCATCTCCTGGCAGCCAGCATCAGCCTTCACTGCCTCTGCCATTGCTTATGCTGCACCTCCTTTTTGTTAGTCCCCACAGCTGGGATAGGGAAGGGCTCTCCCCCACCAGGGTCACAGCTCTTCTGTTAGATGCCTCACAGTGTTCTCTTCCATTTCAACTTAGAATCTTCTTAGCCAAGGACTTGAGATCGATTCCCAGTGGATTCTTGGCCAAGTCCCAACAGTTGAGCCACCATCCCTCCCTCCGTATCTTGCTCAAAAGCCTTTTTCCTTTCTTTCTCATAAGCCTAGAGAGTGCAGTCCATCACTGTCCCAGGACAAAGTCTAGCCTCCACCAGGTCCTTCCTAGGGAATAGATAGGGGGCTGCTGCCTTTGTCCTCTTCCTTGGTGTTAGGGTTTTATCTGACATTCTGCAGCTCCGCTACATTCCTAACACCCTCATCAAGTAACTCTCCTGGTGGCTCACAAAGTGGGCCAAACTCCTGGGGGCAGCCTGCTAACTGGGTCCCCTCTGGGACCACTAATCCAAGATTTGAAAGTGTTTTAGGTTTTCTGCACCAGGGAAATTCACTAGACTTGATAGAGTATTATTACAAGGAGAGAGAAAAAACAAAATTTACTTTTTGTAGATTCACAAAGCAATAAAAAACTCTTTGTGTTGATTTGGCCTGTTCTTCTGCTTCTAAGCAGGGCTAATATCAAACAATAATTGTTTAAACTTGGAAAGAAAGAGAGGAAAACACCTCCCAGAGATTGAAATGCTAAAACACTCCCTTATAGTTTAGAGGGTTTTTTTCTCCTATTGGCCACTCTCTCATGGTGCAATCTGAGCCTTCTGCCTATTGTTCTGTCCTCAAGGGGAATCAAAGAGAAGATTGTAGCCTGCTTTTGCTGTTTCTCTCACAGTGCAGTTCTCTCTGGCCAAGTTTTTCTCTACCCCCATCACTCACATGCTCACACATTCCTACACACATATTTAGTCCTAAACTGTAATCATCTGTGTCCGACTTGGCTCTTAGAAGTGAAGAGGGAGCCCTGGGTTTGCAATACCATAAACATATTTTCCCCAAGAGATGCTTATGCAGCAATCCAGAAATTCCCATTGCTCTGCCTTTTAATTAGCTCAGGGAGTTGCAGACTAACGGTGTGGGTGTGCTTGCCAGCTGTGCTTTTTGGACGTTATATGGTCTGCTGCTCATTCTGTCTCCTCCCCCAGGGTTAAGAAATTACAGAGCAGGCTCGCTCTGCTTGTCTTGGAAGTGTGTGCGCTGACCTTACCCTGCAGAACCCTAGAAGCTCCAGGGCCTTTTCCAGCCAGTGCTCAAAGGCCCTTGGGAACCAGGGTGGCGACACTCAGATCTCAGATCTTACAGCCTGCTGTCCTTGAGCGGGGTGGCAGAGATGGCCTTTGAACTGAAAGGGATTGTTTTCATCTGTTCAGTCCCCTCGGGTGACCTACCTCAGAATCAGTGTCTGCTAGGGACCAGAAAAGTGATTTTATGGCTTGAGGGGTACCTGTGTCTCTCTCAGTCAGAGCCCTGTTTGGGAGGCTGCCAGATACCTTATCCCTATGAAACCAGAGGCCCCAAGGAGCCCCTCCGGCCCTCCTTCCTGAGGGGTGCTCTATCTCTACTTCCACACAGTGGCCCTGGGATGGTTGCATGGCTGAAATCAAATCTCTCATCTCTGCTATCTTTTTAATTAAACTTCTTCCCTCTACACAGTCCTCTCATATTTTGTTTATGCATTCTCCCTCTGAGTGACCATATCACACTTTCGGCTCTGGTTTTAACTTCTCCATTTTTCCAAGGTTCTGCACATCCCCTTGCTTAAATGGGTGAGTGATGGTGTTTTTCCTGGCAGTTTATCATAGACACATTGCAGCTCAGCTCTCAGCAGCCTGTGCTTCTCTGACTTTCCACATGGGTGGTGTAGGTTTCCACCTCATGCCTTCAGCACAAACACATCAGGGCAAAATTTTCTTTCTTTACTTATCTCATCCTTGGCATTGGATTCTTCTCTTTGTTTCCTCCTGTCTGTATACCTGCTCTTTTGGCTGTTGTTCACACACGCCCCCCCCCCCCCCCCCTCTTTCTCTATCTTTTGGGCAGAGCTTCTGCCAGCCTCCCTCCTTGGCACTTGGCTTCTCCAGTAGAGGTTCTCTCTGCAAATGGGGTTATCAGTTGCTGCCCTGACTGTTGACTTTAATACCACAGCCTTGCAAATAGCCACTTGCTCACTATCTAGTCCCAGTGTATCACACTGATTTTCACAGAGTGGACCTCAGCAAAGCCAGAAGGGCACCAGCCCTGCAATGTGCCTGTCCCTAAACTAAGGCTTATCTAGACTAAGGCAGAACACAAACCAAGGGGCTCAGAACACTTTGATAAATGATGTTTTCTATACCTAGAAATTTAGGTGTAGAAAAAGTGTATAAAGGCGTGGTGGCTCACGCCTGTAATCCTAGCACTCTGGGAGGCCAAGGCAGGCAGATCGCTCAAGATCAGGAGTTTGAAACCAGCCTGAGCAAGAGCGAGACCCCATCTCTACTAAAAATAGAAAGAAATTAATTGGCCAACTAAAAACATGTAGAAAAAATTAGCCGGGCATGGTAGCGCATGCCTGTAGTCCCAGCTACTCGGAAGGCTGAGGCAGAAGGATCTCTTGAGCCCAGGAGTGTGAGGTCGCTGTGAGCCAGGCTGACGCCACGGCACTCTAGCCAAGGGGACAGAGTGAGACTCTGTCTCAAAAAAAAGAAAAGAAAAAGTGTATAAAAGTATACTTTTATAACCTCTAAATGTCAGAAGATCTATCTAATTGAAATGTTTTGGATGTTATATTTATTTTTCAAAATAGCTGAGTAAATAAAGCTTTGTATGGATATTTTATTTAATTTGAATTTAATTCATATGGTTCAAAACTCAAAAAGTACAAACTTTCATACAGTAAAAACGCTTTCTCCCAGCCTTGTCCTCTTCTGCCCGGTTCTCCCACCCCCACCTAGGTAGCTACTGTTCTTAGTTTCTCCTGTTTAAGATGGATCTTGATAGAGTCTTGTACCAGATTCAAAATCAGTCATCTACGTCGAAAACAATGACATGCTGGCTAGTTAAATAGGAAAGGAGGCCTTCTCTCACTCTGTCACATATTTGCCATTTGGGATTGAATAACCTGCCCTGCTCCCCTCCCTCGTGGCTATATAAATTTTGTCCTGAACTTTTTCTCTTTCCGACAGCCTCTACAACATAGTCTTTGTTGTACTATAAATTTTTATCTCAGCTATCTTTGTCTAAGTTTCTTTGTTTCAATGTCTTTAAGCTTAAAGCAGATTCCATTACTTGGGAGCTTAGTGAATTGGCCCCAGTTAATCAGATAAGCACTAGATAAATTCCCAGGAAACCTCCAACGGACAGACTTAAAAAGATCCTGCACGTTTGGTTTATCATGACAAGATTACAGCTGATACCATGGAGGTGGTACCATGGAGAAGGAGACCCTGTGGTTATCTGAATAACTTGAAGAAGCCTCTGAGAAAGAAGGAGTCAGGAGTGTGGGTAGGCAGACTCAGCCTCAGGCTAGATGTGCCCTGCAGCCAGTGCCAGCTCTGGACAGAGATCAGTGGACCAGACAGCAGGAAAGCCCAGCATTCCTGTGGTCAGAAAGAAGATTCATCTTGGAAGATGAACGTTTAGAGAGCTCTGGCTGTTCTCTTTCTGGGCACTCTGGCCTCTTGGTCTGGAGCGAGTACTGCCCAGGGCAGTGACCCCCTAGCCCCTATTCCTCATACATTGGCCCCAAATCTTCACTTCTCTAAAGTGCTTTTAATTCACCGGCTCATGTGATTCTGGAAGGGTCACCAGTGCTGTTTGATGGCTCAGTTATGAAGATGGAACCTCCTCTGAGGAAGCTCTTGTTTACAGTAGTTGCTCTGTGATCTGACTGGCTCACATGTCTCTGTGAACTGACACTGCGTTTAAAGATGCAGGTCAAATTCATAGAAGCAGAGAGTAGAATGGTGGTTGCCAGGGATTGGGGAAGAAGGAAGGGGAGGTGATAGTCACAGGGTACAGAGTTTCAGTTATACAAGATGAGCGAGTTCTGGAGCTCTACTGTATAGCATAGTGCCTATGGCCGACAATACTGTATTGTATACTTAACATTTGCTAAGAAGGTCTTATTTTAAATATTCCTACCATACACAAAAAATAACTATAATAATATAATAATAAATGGGGTAGAAGGAAACCTTAGGAGGCAGCAAATGTGTTTATGACCATAATGGATGGTGGTGATATGTCATAGATGATAACCTCCAAACTCCTCAAGTTGTATACATTAAATATGTACATCTTTCTACCTGTCAAGCACACTTCAGTAGAGTAGTTTTAAAAAAAGAAATGCTGACTGGTGCTCATAGAGACAGCCCCTAGATAGTACAAGATTCAGAATAACTAAGAATATGGAACTTTGCTATGGTCCTAATATTCAGTCGTGAGCCTGTGAAAACTGGCCATTCTTACTTGGTGTATATGGTTCATATGGCAATACCATATTAAATACTTAATCGGCAAGAAAACGTCACTCCGAAGCCACACTCAGGGGTGTGGTTA